TTATTATTATTATTACTATAATTAAGGGTTCTTGGAAATGTTAAGCTTTTGATAAAAGATAGTAACTGTTGGTAAATAAAATGTTTAACAATATTACATATGTTCTATTTTATTAATAAATGCATAAAAAATAAATTGTCTAACAAAAGAATTACAAAGACAAAATCCATCTACAAACTAAAAAAATATGAGAATGTTTCCGAACATTTCGAATGGTTCCGAGCCAGTCCCTGACTCGTTCGAACAGACCTAACATTACCTGTTCTAAAATCTAAAAAAAGAATATGTAGTAATGTGTACATATAATACTTTGAATTATTCATTAAAATGATTAGCAATAATGTTGAGCTGCAAATCCCTTCCAACTGCCAAATCAGGATTAATTAGCTGTGGCATATTGTCAACAAAATTTAGATTATGGTAAATGCCATAATCAGGCTCTTCAATATGAGGTTCGTCTGGCTCTGGAATATTTCTTTCTATACATAAATTATGGAGAATATAACAGGCATTTACAATTTTTCCAGCTGTTGTTGGGTGGTAATGTAAAGTGCGATATCTTAGCAAACACCTAAATAGGTTTTTAAGTACACCATTACACCGTTCAATGATGGATCTTATAGAACATAATCTGTCATTATACCGTTGTTGTCCAACATTTTGTGGATTTAAAATCGGTGTAAGTAACCAAGGGCGAGTGGGATATCCTAAAATTAAAACAAAAATATTTTAGAAAATGATTAACATACATATGAAACAATGTAGAAATAAAATTAAATAATTTTCATTGTCTTGTATCTTACTAATAAGCCTCACCCGAGTCGCCCAGCAAGAAAAAAACATTTGTCGGATCCCTTCTATATAATTGTTCCATTAAATTGGAGACTGCAGACTGTCTCCAAATGTGCGCATCATGGGTGGACCCTGGGAATCTTGATGTCACATTTAATAATTTAAGATTGTTATCACAAATCTGAAAAAAGTAAATGTATAAAGTATTAAGTAATTTTTAGAAATTTCATTAAAATAAACTTACTAGTTGTACATTAAGTGAATGATAATTCTTTCGGTTTACATAAATATGTTCAGGAGCATGCTCATCATTAGCTGGCGGAGCCACAATGCTCACATGAGTACAGTCGATGCAACCAATTATTCCAGGGAATTGGTAACTTTCATAAAACCTAAAAAAATACTTACTGAGAAAGCTAATACAATAATCCAAAATTTCAATTACTTGAATGAAGAATAAACATTTTATCTTCTTCAAGATATATGAAACAAAGCAAATAGGTCTTATCGTATTTAAAATCGCAACCGCATTATTAGTATTTTTTTTTTTCAAGTTTAACAAAACCATCAATAACAATATATATTTTTTAATTCTGGCTACAAACAATATTATGTTGTAGTAAGCTTTTTATGGTTTTATGAATATTTATTTACCTAGTTCGAATATTTTCCAACTCTTCAATATTTCGAGGGAACCTTATTACATTATTTAGAATTTCAGGTTGGTTTAATGCATTCGTGACCTCATTCACAGCTCGACTAGCTGAAGCTTGGCTAATGGCCACAAAACTGTTCGAGCCAGTAATTTCCTGGTAACTGCCTGAAGCATAAAACCTGAGAGCAGCAAGTACCTACAAAAATTGTAAATTTTAATTATTTAACATAAGTAAAAACCTAGTAAGCATGCTTCAACCACAGATTTTTGTTATGTTAAGCTGTGCCTCGATTAACTACAATTTTCTTACTTACCTTGGTTTGTATGGATAGAGCAGAGGTTCTTGTTGGTTGGGCTAAGAAACGGTTGACCATATTAATTATGTCATGACAGAGTTCCTTATCCACTCTGAATAACTGCACAAATTTTCTATTAGATACTTGAAATGCATTTGTCTGGGGCAAAACATCTCTTCTAACAGCGAACTCTGCCACCGCTTCCTCAACATCCTCGTTAATAATGTCGGTAATTATTTACTTTAGTGGCACCACCTCCAATTTTCACAAAATTTTGTCTACCCCCTATTTTCGATGGTGCTGAACATGAACCTGCAGTTTTTTTTGTGCGGTCGAACCTAGTTTTCGAGAAAAAAATTTTTCAAAATTCTAACCTGGATATTTCAGATAACACTACGTAGAACTCTGTATATTTTATGTAGCTTTCCAGAACATCTGTTATGAACAATTAACACTGTTCACGAAACACATTTTCGTAAATTTCAAGTAAAAAGATATGCATTTAATAAATAAAAATTTTGTAGTTTGAATCCGCCATTTGTAATTCGTGATGACAATTGACAACATTGAGTTCCCCCACTCTCATTCAACTCTGTTCATCCCACATAAAGTTACTATAATTTTATTTATTAAATACATATTTTTTTTAGTTCAAATTTGGGAAAATGTGTTTCTTAAACAATGTTCATTGTTTATTACAGATGTTCTGAAAGCTACATAAAATATACAGAGTTCTACGTAGTGTTATCTGAAATATTCAGGTTAGAATTTTGAAAAATTTTTTTCTCAAAAACTGGGTTCGACCGCACAAAAAAAACTTCAGATTCGTGTTCAGCACCATCGAAAATAGGGGGGTAGACAAAATTTTGTGAAAATTGGAGGTGGTGCCACTAAAGTAAATAATTACC